GTAGCTTGCGGCACCAGATATCGAGAAGTCTCTCTTCTCTAGCAGCGACAACGCAGCCGTCCTCGATTAGCCTCCGGTTGCGCTCCCCCTTTGAGGGCGGTAGCTCTGGTGCATAGCGGGGTCCGCACCCAGCACCCTCTTTTACAACCCTGCGGGGGACAGGACCGAAACCCAAACTTAGGGTCTTGGGTGAAGTGGTTTTGCTGGTATCCGCTGACTGAGACTCGTGCTCAGTCGGCGAAAGCTGCACAGAATGCCACACCGGCACACTCAAACGTTCAAGTCGTCGGTCCTTGTCATAGGTTGGATTGCCCAAAGCTCCATAGGCACACTCTGCTGAATTTGAGGGTTCATCGTCAAAGGATGGCGTCGTGGTCATGACTCGGGGTTGCGTCGTGACCCCCGCTGCTTCCGTAACAAACGTTCGCGCATCCGGTCCGGTGTTGACGGTATCGCTCAAACAGTAAACGACCAGGCCGGCATGTTGTAGTGCCGTTGCCTAGGGCCCACAATCCACCGAATGAAGCAACCACAACACGACCTGACGCCGAGCCAATGGCAACTGGAATGTGCCAACGGCTCCGCTGCCAAGTCGAATTGTGCTTGCCTCTTGGTGCCAGCTGAAAGGCTCAATGATCCATCCATTGCCGCTCGTCCCTTTCTCACTGCAACGCTATGCATCGAATCAGGCTTGACGTCTTGTGATCAAGTGCTCAAAGGACAGTACGCTGTACACGCAAGTAAGGCTTCCAGAAGGATGGTACGACCAGCACTAAATTAGCTGAGTATGGCCTGCAGGCTTGATGAGTAGAGACGGCCACGCATAAGCACTTCGTAGATCGAGACCTGGGTTGGGTGCTTAAGCAAGGGCTAAGTCTTATGCTGAGGGTTAGTACCTTTAGACTTCTTTAAGTCGGGACTTAGGGCATCTGACTCCATGCCCCGTAAGGTGGCTAGTCCTTAAGTCCCCTCGGCTTGGGCGTGGTATTCCCGAGATTCGTCGGGCGTGGTATTCCCGAGTTTTTGGAGTGGTCTGCTATTCTATGATAAACAATATCGATAATGATGAGTTTAAAATTTTCATGATGTATTTGATGATATGTATACTATTTAAAGAAAAGACCCTCTACTATAGTATGGAGAAAAACAATGATGAAAACAGTCAACAATGCTCAACATGCAAACAGTACAGAAACTTAGATTGGTTTAGACCTGAAAGAAAACACTGTAATCAATGTTTAGAAACAATCAAAAGACACCGTGAAAAACATAAAGATCAAGTATCCAATTATGCTAAAGGTTATCATAATCAACATAAAGCAAATAGCGGAGAAAAACAAAAAACAAAGGAACATAAAGTAAAATTTAAATGAACTTATTGAAAGAAGAAAAGCACAAACATTTTTTTAGAATAAAACAGAGAATTCAATGAACAAATCAAGCAACTAGAGGAACATAGAAAATTGGTTGAAGACGTGCTGAATATGATGAGGGTTTTAGACTTCACGGTAATATTTTTCAATACATTACTTTAATCAACAAATCTTCCTGATAAATTGTCTTATGAAGATTTGACACAAGCCTTATGACAAAAAATGTGATACTTGAGAAAAAGGATTAGAAACCTAAAGCACCCCAGAAATCCCTGAATTTGAGAAATCCCTGAAAAATTGAATTAAGTAGATGCTAAAAGTTGTTGTAAAATTATTGCAAAAAGCACGGAAAAAGACTGAAATCTGGCTACATATGTTGGTACAATGAAAAACATGATTGAAAACCCTAGAAACCGTGAAGTTTGGAAATTGATAACATGACTAAGGCGAATTATCATGAAAATAATGACTAAGATGAAACACTAAATAGTTGCAATAATTTGTTACTTAAGACAAATGACCACAGCACCTTTACGTTATGGAATGAATTAGGCTGAATTAAGTTCACAAGGAAAATCATGTGATAAAATGAATGAGGCTGATATGGAAGTAAAACGTAGGCTGTGGCGGAAGTCCCACAACCCCCCTATTCCTTATTTTTTCACCCCCCCCCCCCCTCGCCCATCCCGGCATAGTCCGAAAAGACCACATGCACACCGTATTCCACCTGCACGATATAGCTCTAGCGCCCTGTGACAGCAGCAGATATACAAAAATACATTCAGGGACATGGCAGCATGCAAGCTTCAGATACACGGAGGATTCAGAAACAGCACCGAGAAGAGGAAGCCCAACAGGTGCGAATGCAACCACATGATGGTGTCAGAAACCACCCTCGGTGCCGAAACGAGCAATCCAAAACCTCGAAAGCATGCATCAACGCGAAGAAAGCCTTCGCCGGCAAGAATGCCACACATCACGTCGACCACTCTCTCACCCCTTAGATGCGTCAGATTCGCGGCCTCATGGCGCTCCGTGTCTGGCCCGGCCTGCACACTTGAAATGAGAAAGTCAGCGAAAGAAGAACGGCCCACGAGCCTCCAGCACTTGCACAGACTCGGTCATCAGTTCTCCTGGGCATTTCGGACGTTTTGAGAATCTTTTCGCTGGTGTCGGCACTCATCTGGTCAGGGCTCTCTCGGACCATACAAGAAAGCTACTGCTGCCTGGCTCCACGCTCTGTCGAACGCCACCATATGCTATACTCACTCGTACATCGTTCTGTTGTGGGCCATCTCCGACGGATTTTGTTATGAGGGCATTTTAAGTTCGTTCGCATCACCGAGTCTGAAGTTCGGTAGAAAGTTCAGCAGGCGACGGATCTCAGCAAGGCCCTCTATAGCATCTCTAGAGCTTTGCGTCTGTAGAGCTTTGCGCGTGCAACCACCCGCTCTGCGGCTCCGCACGTGTTGCCTGCCCACGTGATCCTACTCACTTCGAGAGCCCGGCCCAGCAGTGGGAGGCCCTGTGCCTGTCACTGGAGGGCCCACAAAAGCCAGTAAGGAGTAGGGCCCTGGGGTCCTGGCCACAAAAGCACCCCGACACACTCGAGAGGACCGAGACCTCAAGTTATACCGAAACGATCGCAGATGGGGGGGGGAACTAAACGATGTTGGCTCGTTGGGCTCCGGACACGTAGACGAGCAGGAGCGCCACGCTGCGCAGCCGCCTGCCCAGCGCGGACCAGCGCGGATGAGCGCTGCAAGGAGCTCATCGGGTGGCGGGGGGTCCTCGCGCCTCGTGCTGCCCCAGGAGGGAGCCTCCGTCTGCAGCTCCGAGAGCCTCAGATTCGCAGCTCGCGGATGCTCGCGGACAGCGTCGATTCGCTTCGAGTCTTCTCTTGGCTTCTCGCAGGCTCGGAAGCGACACCTGCAGAAATTCCACAACACACCGCCCCTGAAGTCACTTTTTATTGGCCGCCCCTTTAGCTAAGCCTTAGTTTTTCCCCACTCCGACCCTTTCTCCTCGTCGACACCGCTTGCGAGGCGACGAGCAAAGCGCTCCCTCGCTTGCTCCTGCGAGGATTCCAAGAGAAGGGCCGAGGCTCCCCGCTTTCGGCCCGTCGGACTCGGCGCCTCCGGCGGGCGAGGGGCCTCTTCGATCCTGCAAAAGCGGCACCCCATTCAATGCACTCCCCACAAGTAGAAAGGGGCTGTCTGAATTGAGAGAAGCCGCAGCTCGTCTGCCTGGCACAGGAAGGAAGTCGGCAGCTCGAGCCCCGCATCGGCGCGAGCCCGCGAGCTCGGAGCGTGGCGCGCCTCGGCCTCATGCTCGAAGTTCGTCGCGACGAAGGCTTCCAGTCTGGCTTCGAAGCTGGATTGGCGAAGAAGCTCTCGTGCCTTCTTGCTGGAGGGATTGGGCGAGTTACTGAGGCTGGGGTTGCCGTGGTGGTTGCCGGGGAGGTTGCCGGGCGGGTTATTGGGGGGGTTGCCGGGGGGGTTGCCGGGCGGGTTGCTGGGGTTGCCGGGTGGGTTGCCGGGTGGGTTGCCGGCATTGCTGGGGTTGCCGGAGGGGTTGCTGGGGGGGTTGGTGGGGATGCTGGAACCAGCCCTGGCGCGGCCAGGAGAGCTGGACAGATCTTCCGCCGGTCTCTGAAGGACACCAACGGCTGCTGCCGACGGATGGGCTGTTGACTCCTCTGGTCGCGTGCTCGAGCTGTTCGGATCTGCTTGGAATACCTGCAACGCAGCGCCAGGAGCAAACTGCGATTCGCTGACACCAGCAATGCGCCTCCAGGCGCGCTTGCTTCGTCGGCCTCTCGACTCGCCTCTCTGTCGCGTGAAGAGCCTCGTAAAGCAGCAGACTTGGGGTGCGGCATGCGACATGATGCAACGTGCAATGCAACCCAAGCCCGACCGCGGTTCGCGCAGCTCGCAGCTCGTCGGCAAAGGTCATCGCGTAAGCACTCGCAGCTCCGCATGTGTGCACACAACTAAACTTTGCTAGATGACACGCAGTGCAACTGAGGATGGGCTGCTATGGGCTTTCTAGGCGTAGAAAGAGATGGGAAGACATAGGTCTTGTGTTGAAGAGCTGCAGAGAGAATCCGAGTGCAGCGGAGCTTCCAGCATCTTCCAAGGCGGACGCTCCGAAACGCCCATTGCGCCTGCGCGCCATCGTCGCCCTTTTGGCGAAGCTCTGAAACTTAGCCTGGCTCGGAGGCAGCGGCTCCCGCCGCACGCGCCACACGCTGCTTTTTTCCCAGGGTGCGCTCCTCGGGGCTCGTGGCGAGGAAATTGAAGAGCTGGTGAACCGGGGCTGTCATGGTGCACATCACCTGCGACGCTGCGACGGGATTTGAGCCCTTGCAAGGAGTTCTTGACAGTTATTGAACGGGAACGAAGGCTTCTCCCGAGGTCTGAGCAAGGGAGCTCCCCACCTGGCATCGCTGGTCGCTGACGCTGCGCCGCTACGCACACTGCCGCGAATCTCGAGCTCTCGGAAGCGCACATCACAAAGGCCCGCTTTGCCCCGCATCTCCGGCAGCCGCTCCCTTCGACGTCACGGTCTCGCCAAAAACCGTTCCGTCACTGTTACGATGCGTTTCAAGCAGCTGTAGCCAAGGTGAGAGGCTTCGGACTGCCATGACCTCAAGGTTGAGGCGCGAGACGGTGCTTTCGAAGACTCAACAGAAAGGGTACCGGCACTGAGGAAGTTTCGGATCAGGAGTGCCTCGCGACCCAGAGCAGCGCAGAGCAGCGCAGCATCTTCTTTTAGGGTTCCCTTTCCGTGTTTTTCCAGGAGCCGTGTGTCTTGGCCGCCCGACCTCGGCACCAGGGCCCCACATGTCCTGAATGCAGAGAACGAAAAAGACAAGGACACGGATGAAGTGTCTCTGCGCGCAAGTCCTGAACAGGTGTCAAGGGAACCTGCATCCGAAGGATCGGAAAGTACGGATGCTTTTTCACAGAACAAGGATTTCCAGAACATATCGAGGCATGTTTTTGCGAGACCCATCCACGACGGAGGCGAAGAGAACGAAGGAGTTGTTGTACCTGGCGCGGCGCAGCGCATCGCAGCAGCGCAGTCCTAGTTTGGAACGAATGTCGGCTTCCGAAGTTACAACGCAGAAACGTTGTCCTGGACTTAAGGCACTGAGGCAAGCTGCTCCTTGTCAGGGGGCTCGGCTGGTTTGGAAACGTCCAATTTTCTGTCTCGTTTCACCATATGACTATCGCACCTGAGCTGCGGAGGTCAGCAAGGCAACGTCTACTATGCAAAAGACAGGGATTTTCACCCCTTTCCTCCCCAACAGGCCGGGGCATCGCCATCTGAGCGTTCCTCAGAGAGCGGGAGAGCGCGGGCCCGCGGGATGACCGCGGCACGCGTCGCTGGCCTGGCCTGGATTGGGAACCGAAGGTCAGCACCTGGCGGGCTCCAACTGGGTACACCCCCCCCCCCTCTTGCTCCTTCTTTTTTTTCACGAACGGGCGGAGACGTTGACTCAGAGGCCAGGCAGCTCTTCTGCCCGTCGGTGAAACCATAAGCACACCCCTCCGCGAACCCCCAACCCTTCAAACCTCAGAGCTCAGGGATCGTCGGGCAGATCTTCCTGCAGAGGCGAAGTGCGCTAGCAGAACTGCGACACGAAGGCTCGTAAGCAGCAACTTCTGCAGCGACACTCTTCTTCTTCGTTACACCTGTGAAGCATCGGAACCTTTCAGAACCAGCCTCTTTCCGGCTCCTCCCGAGAAGCTCTTTGCTCAAGATGGTCATTCGGTACCGTACCTGTGCTACGATGTGATGGCTCGTGACCATGACCAGTGCTGGGCGGCTCCGCACGCGATGGAGATCTTTTGCAGAGGCCAGCTGTGTCTGCACCCTCCACCGGCGGATATGCGCCTGGCCATAGCCAGCGCAAAAAGACTGAGAAAAAAATTCTTCCCGCGGAGTTCCTGGATGGTGATGGCCGCTTGGATACAGAAGCGCAGGTGGTTCATGCGATCCGCCACTCGTCTCCTCGAAGAGTTCTCCACGCACTCCATGCTGCTTTGGGCTTTGGGTTCGGGGGCCTCCGGATGACCCGGCGAATCCAGCTTCGGAGTCGCTGCCGGGCCGCCAGCCGTTGCAGGATGACCTCCATGAGACGATCGTGGCCACGACGGAAAGATCAGCACACTTCACAGCCCCTTCGCCTGGCGCAGGGGCTTCCGGATCTGGTAGCTCCTCCACCTGCAGGACTCGTGCGGGGCGGCGGCGCGGTTCTCAAGTGCCCCCGACCTGCTCTGGATCCGCGTGGCCGCCCGATGCTGATGTCGCAAGATCTTCCTCTCGGCCAGCTCCTCCAACTTGGCGACGCTCATCTCGTAGGTCAGCCCTTTGCGGCAATGCGAGGCGAACAGAAGCTTTTTTTCGCTGCGAGTCGAAGAGAGCTCTCGCTGCCTGGATCCCAGTCCCCCGCTTCGGCATCGAGGCCAAGCCGCTCTGCCACCTGCAACGCAAACCGAGACCGAGAGACACCGGGAGATTTGCGGGAGAGGGGGCTTTGAGAGCTCAGCTCTCGCACCTCGAGGTGGAAGCGCTTCAAAGTGGGGGCCGGCTCCTGCCATTGCTGTCCGAGGATGGTCGTCCTCGTGCCAGCCGCACACCATGTCCGGTCCGGCCATGTCAAGACATCCCCAGCCCCCCGTCGCCGTCGCTCCTGTCACGGAATTTTGAGATCCCAAAGACCTGACACTGCGAGAGCGAGAAGAGAGAGGAGGGAGAGAGGAGAGAGAGAGAGAGCCTTCAGCCTTGTTTCCATATATTGCTTTTCCGGACCTCCGGCAGCTTCCGTCTCTGAGCAGCTGTGAGCTCCAAGGTTCGTCCTGGCACGCGCGCAGGCAAACGCTCGCAAGGGCCCAGACAGCGCACCTTCGTTGATCCCTTCGTCTTGGGTGTCGCTTTGCTCCACATCACTCCGGCCTCAAGGCGACTGCACCAGACTTCGACAGCCGAGCTTCGCCCTTTTTTGCAGCTCGCCTTCGTCTGGTGCTGCAGAAATGCTGGATCCAGGTCCTGGCAGATCCACTCGGCTCTCGATGACTCACTGGCGAGAAATCCTTCCCACGACTTCTCCTGCACTCCCCTCTTTCGGTATGAGAAGCCTGGTCATAGCAATTCAAGCCCGCGACAGAAGGGCAAAGGCATGGCCTCGCCAATCCTGCAAGCTGACCTAGAGGGCGCCCAGGCGGGTTTTCAGACTGCCGACTGCCGAGGCCTGCCGAGGCCGGAACCCCACTGCGACTGCCTCTTCGGCCGCGCCTCTCAAAGGGGAAGAAATCGCCTCCATCGCGGGCTCTCCACCGAGCTCGGGACCTCGCTTCCCTGCCCCGGCTGGAGCATGGCGCCAGGGCCACCACCCGGGCTCAGCATGGATTGCCGCACCAGCTGTCCCAGAGCGGGCTGCTGAAGCAGCGACGGCTGACGAACCGCGATTCTCCTGCCACGCGCCAGCTTCACTTGGCCCTTCATGCCTTATGGCTCGCCTCTGGGCGACAAGGTTGACAGGATTCTCCGATTCCGTGAAAGACGCCCTTCGCCCGGCCCTCAGTGATTCTTTGGCACAAAACAAAGTTTAGGAGCAGAGAAAGCCCTTTCTAGCAAGCGGGCATGCGCATGAAGCCCAGCCCTGGCACCTGGCAGGGGCTGAGAAAAGCTCTCGCGTCGTGGAGCGACGTCGAGCGCTCGTCGACCTCTTCATCGGAGTCCCCAGAATCACTTGAGGAGCTGCTTGTGCTCGTCTCTCCGCTCGAGGAGGGCGAAGTAGGCCCCGATCGGGGCCGCCCGGGCTGGTCTGAGTCCAAAACTGAAGACACACGAACTCCCACGACACGACAACAACTTGACAAGCTTGTGGCTGCTGCACTCGGCGCCTGATCCGCTGCCCGAGGCGAAGGAATCGCGAGACTCGGGGGAAGCTCCAGCACCTCTGCAACAAATAGCTCCCCTCCCCGGGCTTCCAGCGCCTCTTTTTGCCTTGCGCCTCTCGCTTCGGGCTTCGGCGTCTCCGTCATCGAACGGCGGCTCCCAAAAGCGTCCTGGCCAGATTTTGAAGAGCCCAAAAGCGCTGGGGACTCGGCCCAGGAGCCTGCGCCGACGGCCCGTCGGTAGCCAGGCGCTGTAGAAGGTTCGCACGTCGCTTCTGCTGCAGTTTGTTCCCGGCTTTCCGGACGTCGTTCCTACAGCGAGAAGCAGGGAGCCAAAGACTGTCGCAAGCTTCGGCTTAAGAGTAGTGGCCAAGATTCTCTGAACGCTTAACATCCGCCTGTACTTTGTTGAGAGGTTCGACAGAGTCCACAGCTGCCAAAATGTCACTGGCCGGTCACTCTTGCTGCGCGTTTTTCATGGTCAGGGACAAGCGAAAAGCAAAGGAGCCGGGATCGGAGCCGGCAGCAGTTTGCACGGGGCACGGGAACCACCACGAGCTGGAAAAGAAGATGTGGCACTTCAGTCAGCAAAGGCTAGCCGAAAGTCCAAGACACTGCAGGTCATCCACGTCTTTCCTCGAGAACACCGAGGCTTTTCCCCGGCGCTGCCATTTCCTGACGGAATTCGTGTAGAGAGCAGAGTACATGCACACCAGTGCCCTGGATGATGTGCAAGCCAGCTGCTCGTAAGCTTTGCTGGCTTCGTTGCCAGAAGCCAGAATGAGTTGCTGGATGATCCGCGCATGTCTTACCTCGAAGGCTGGCTGTTTGCAGCAAGGTCGAACTTGTACAAGTCGGCTTCACATCCGAACTCCTGCCAAATCCTGACCCCTGTTTCTCCCCCATACAAGACGCTTTCAAGGTGCCGCCATCATGCCAGCATTGGCAGCATCCGACCCAAGACTGACCTGAGTCAGAAAACGGCTGAGCGCTCGCTGAGCTCGAGGACTCAGGAGCTTGCCATGTTGCCCAGCACCGCAGCCGAGAGAAAGTTGTCGCGGCTCCGCTGCGGGCCCGGACCCGCAGGGCCCTGGCCTTGGCCGCCGTGGCCGCCGTGGCCCGTCCTCGGAGTCGGCGCGTCTTCGTTCTCAGAGCCGAGGCTCTATCCGCCGAGCTCGGGCCCACGCCGGGACGTCGCCTCGCAGCCCACAGCCCCGTCCCCACACGTCCCCACACGTCCGTGCTCTTTCGAGGGCCGGACGCCTTCATTCTGCCCCTGCAAGCAAGCCAAAGCCAGCTCACAGGGACACGAAAAATTGAGGCTCTCCTCAGGCGATCCGCGTGCTTTCGCCTTGCCTGACAGGGCTCTTTCAAATCAAGGAAAAAGAATGCAAGGCTGCCCTCTGGTCGAGCTGCCCTCGAAGGCCATGCTGCCGCATTCTGCCTGAGCAGTCGAGCAGTCAAGTGCAACGCGAAGACGCGAAGAAGAACTCTCTCTTTGTCGAGGCCTCGACGCTAGCGAGACCCGCAACCCAGTGTGTCAGAAACTTGAGCCAAAGTCGCAAGAGACTGTCCACCCTCTCGACAAGAAGAAAGCATCGCAGCCGGCGCACCGTCTCAAGGAGTGAAGCTCCGAAAGAAGCAACTGCCTTGCAGTTACACGCGTCAACAGGCAAGTCGCTCACTCGCTTCTTGCAGCTCTGGCACTGAACAAAACAATTTGGATGCCTCAGCTCTTGTGAGGAAACTGTATGGCATGCAGGCCATGCAGGCTCTAGAGTCAGGCTTGGGCAGATGTCAGTTCCATCAAACCGCCATTCATGAAGTGGTACATCTGCAAACAGGCGCCCTTTCCACACTCGCTGAGAAAAGAAGGGCGGCCCCCGGGGGCGCGCACGGGGCCAACGGCGAGGAACTGAGGGCAAGCGACGACCTGAGGAAAAACGGCACAGCCCAAGGGCACAGCTCGCCCCACACCCCCCCTTTTCCCGAGAAGAGGGCAGCGGGTGCCAAGCCGCCGGTCCAACCTGCTTGCGTGCCACCTCGGAAAACCTCAGTGTTTGTTTTTGATTCTCTACCAGACCCCTTGCTTGGAGTGCTGGACCCAAACCTTGGACCCGAACCTTGCGGTATAAGCCAGCGATGCCCGACTTCTTGTCCTGCACAGCAGCTTCGATTCTTGCCAAGAGCATGGTGATCTCCTTCTACCTCGGGGGCCTGCCTAACAGGCACAGCTCTAGACTCTAGACCATCACATGCCAGCGCGCTGACGTCATCCGAAGGCCTCATGCCAGCAACTTGCGTCCTGGGCGCCCAAGGTCAATCCATTTCGCAAGGGCGTGCACAGGAAGATCACCTTTCGCTGCAATGTCACAATTTGACATGCTGGGGAATTGTTTTCGCTCGGTGTGCGACGCATGGTCCTCCGACTGCGCCGCTGACCAACAATGGTTTGTCTGGCAACTTCTCCCTGCAGGCTCACATATGAAAATGCTTATCATGCATACGTGTTTGCTGGTGGAAGTCCCAATCCTGAACCGCGAAAAGATGGATGGTTGGCTGCCACCACCTCGCACGCAGTGTCCGGGGTAGCACTTTGCAAGCATTGAGTTTCGCACGTCTGAGATTTTGACAGCTAGTCGACCCATTGCTTGTCATGGAAGATAGTGCTTGCTTGCCGTCTGGAGACTCTTTCTGGCACTTTATTGACTGGGAAATGTCACATGCTGGTCTATTCACAATATATGGATCCAATAAGAAGTGAGTTGTATGCATGCTGTTTTGCTATGAAACTTCCCCGCTTCAGCCGCAAATGTGCAATGACGCACCGACAACACCAAATTCAAGCTCACATTCCACGATAGCAGGCTTGACTTCCCAACTGCGCATGAAGCAGTGTGATGACCAACATTTTTGCAGCCGTAACATGGCCACAGATTCGACAACCTTGCATGAAGTGCAGTCATTCAACAGTATGGGTGGCTCAGCAATTGCGACGAGCGTACAGAACTGCTGCAAGCAAGATTGAAAGCAGCTTTTGACGACTAGCAACTAGCTGCACATGTTAAGGTAATGAGCCAGTGCGTCAGAACAAGCAATATGCGATTATGCTGATTAACATGAGAAATATTGGCGAAGAACGGAATGCTAAAACACATAACTGATATTGTCCTATGACCTATGTTACTATAATATATTTTTCCGTTTGTGCTAAAAGTTAAGCCGCTAAAGCGTGCATCGCCGCATTATTATTTGAACATCAAGTCGACTTCTCAATCAGTCAAGTACATTTCATTTTTGTTTATATTATGAAGTTTGCCGGAGTTTCAAAAGAAGCAATCTTTCATTGCCTCATTCAATAAAGCCCGAAACATATTTGGGCGCGGCAACATATTGGACATGACCGATAAAACAATCCCATAAACATATTGCCCAAATGCTATGCTATGTGGGCAAAGGAATATTTGCAAACATATAAAAGTCAAAGAAGCTGCACACTCCACGGTCGATGTTTTCTCACAGTGGCACACTGGGGTTGAAGCAAGCACGAGCCCCCTCGGCTCGTACGTGGAGCCACTGCTCCACTTGAACGATGTGTGTGGTTTAACCACACACATCTTTTTCCATCATCATATTCCCGGGTTGGGAGGGTGAGACAAAAATTTTTCTTTTCTCCTCTAGCACCTTGAGGAGAAACTTTGCATGAACACATTCAACATGTTTTGGCCCCACACAAAACATGGCATGCAGAAAGACTGATAAATGACATGTTTGAAGAGATGCTGATCATGAAAGCACAGCTGCATGAAGAGAAATAAATCATGATCATGTTAGCTTCTCTCTCTTTTTTTTTGAAACCGCCTTCCCATGGAAGGCTGTCCGGCATTTCACTCATAAAGGGGTATCGCGCGCGCTCGACAACGTTCTTATGAAGTTTGCCAGAGTTTCAAAAGAAGCAATCGTTAATTGCCTCATTCAATAAAGCCCGAAA